CAAAATGATTTTCAGAATTCACTGAGGTGATCCTTCAGAAGCACCAGTGGGGGCTGCATCAACAGGAAGTGTCACAAAAGAGCTGTTTGCCTTCAGCTCCTTCTGTTCACACAGTGAAGGAACTTCATCACAATGAAGGAACCTTCTCACTTCTACAGGGGAAACAGTTTCAGGCCAGAAGGGTGGACAAGCAAGGAGGGGAAGAGAGGCAGATATTCAAGGAGCAGCAGCCTCCTTGGGTGCCTTCAGCTCATTTTCTGAAGTGCAGCCAATTTCAGAGGAAAGTAGCTCAGGAAAAAGAAGGTGTTGTGCTGCTTGGGAGCTGACAGGCTGCCCCTCCTCAACCAATAATTAATTATCAGAGCCAGAAGATAAGGTTGCCTCTTGGCAAAATGCTTTTTGTCACATAATGGTCATGACAGAGATGAAAAGTGCTTGGGAGTGGAAAACTGACTTATGTATCCATGCTATAACCTGACCAACTGCATTCACACTGGGCAGATCTAACAATGCTTCATGATGGGGCTTTCATGAGATGAATCTCTGCAGGGAAAAAATGTCACTTGTTTTCCACTGCCCTCTTTCAGATACTTTGGACATGCAGTTTTGTTAAACAGAAACCAGCAATCCTTTTCATGACAGTATTTTTGAGCATTTTTGTTTTAATGGAGAAGTGGCAGCTCATTTAGAGCCCAAGACCATGTATGAAACATTCAAGTGAGTCCAGCTGAGACAGCTCTGGTACAGCGTGGAAGGAGGGAGTTTGCATGACTGAAGACCATCACCTCTAGCAGGTCCTCTTTCCTGTCCTCAGCTATCTGTCTTCATTAAAACCCAGGTGACAGGTTAAATGACAGCAACAACCTTTGCACTTTTCCTTTTAGTTAGTGCCTCTTGAAGTGACTCAGCAGATGCATAAGTTTCATCTTTATTATAATAAATTTGCTGTTAAATCCTATTTCACTATTTTAGCCTGATGGTGCCATTGGTTCCTTACAGCACACATTGCAAACATCCTTTCAAAGCCCAACTAGAAATTAAAATTTATTGAACACTTGATAGACTGCCCAAAGCTGCATGAAAATTGAGCGTGAGTAGTTTCAGAAGTTGGAAATCCTATTCTAAAAAATCTGACAGGTCCTCTACCCCAAAGAAAGTCAGAGAAGGATGTCCTGGTTTACAAAGATGCTAATTGGGAAGTTTAAGCAGGCTTCACTGCCATGTTACACGTGAAACTGGATGGTTAGAGCACTCAGGTTAGAGCTGTAGAGAGAATCATTGCCTTGCTGGTGGGTGGTAGGCACCATTGTGTCGGCAGTCCTGTCCCTCGTGATTTTGAGAGACTATTAATCTTGTTCCAGTGCAGAACAAAAAACCACCTAAGGTGCTGGAAACTTTTCCTGTGTTGCTAGGGAAGTTAGTGCAGTGAGGCAAGGACAATGTTTTTCTTTCTAAATCTATTCTCTAAATATTTGTAATTTCTGTAACTACTCATTGTGTGCATTCTTTATTTTCTCAAAGCAGTACTACTCAGATCTTATCTTATTCCTCAAGGGGTTCCTAAACTGTAAGCAAGCAGATTGTAGATCAATTAGCTCCATCTACTTCTTTTTCTTTTTCATTTTTGTACTTAATAGCAAACAGTTGAATCTTTATCACTTGGCGCCCACTAACTTTGAAGCTGAAATACTGGGAAAACAGGGTGTTTAAGTCTTGCTACGAGAAAGAGCTACCCCAATGCAGCACAGAAAAAAAGAGGCCCTTTGCTCTCATTTGCTACACAAAGTCCATCAGCTGCAGGGGAGTTGGAGTGGCTCAGGAATTTACCATGGTAATATGAGGTTCAGACTTTGTTCCTGGAAAGGGCTGAAGTAGCTACAATAGCTGGTCTTCAACTGGCCATCAGGTGACAACCTTAACAGGGTTACAATTTTTCCTCCTACCCATATTCCCTAGGCTTATTTAAAAAAGCTAATGATAATTTCTGAGTAAGAGAAATACATTGACATTTCCCCCCTCCATTTATGACATTACCAAAGATACTATTTCTTATTTAGTTTTCTATTTTTGAGATAAATACCATGCTCTTTATAACCCCATTGAAGCCAGCAGGTTTTTCTCAGCTTACACCTAGGAATTATACCAATTTTCTGTGTGTTTCTCACTGTACCATTCTGCTTAGGGCAAAATTGTGTGAGAAAAAAAAGACCTCCCACAGCTGGGGAAGAGGGTCCAAGCTATCTGACTGGGAATTCATGCCACTGTCAGTCTGTCAGTGGTTTATCTCCTCATTGACCCAAAGCCCTAGGAGATACCACCTAGTTAAATCTAAAGAAGATCGTGTACCAGAGCCCCATCAGTGGGCAAACTTGACCTTGTGCTACCACAGCATCTAGCAACTAGCTTGTCAGTGGGAAAAAAAAAGCATTCAGAGGGGACAGCAATTAAAAAAGTGCAGCACAATAAAGCTCAAGATTCTTGTATGTTCTGCACATATACAGCACCATTCATCCAAATCCTTTTTTCCATCCTATTATTTAATTCAATTTATAATGATCAAACGATTGCTCAGGAGCGTGAACATGTTCATATACGGGAAGTAAATTAACTCAGTAAGTTGCTGACTAAACCAAACAAATTAATTTTTTTTTCTTGGAGAATAACATCCTGCCTATCCATTATCAAACAAAAAATACCTTTATTAAAAGCTTGCACTTGAGGCACTCTCCCTGGTACTGCACTATTTGTGACACAAACACATTAAGTTTATTACAGAAGAGAAAATTATTTCTATCTGCAAGTATTTTATAGTAGCTCTTTCTTACATACCAATTATGGGTCATTAGCTTCCAAATAAGCAATATCTGCTCACATACATGGCATGCAGCCACCTTAAAAGGGACAGTGGAGGCTCCTGCCTAATGAGGTCATCCTGGGAATTTCATGCAGCCAGGCAGCTCTGATTTGCAAGTTTACAGAAACAGAGGCTGCAGGCAGACACTTATCCATCACTTCTCAGGCTAGGCTGTACAGATGGCATTTTCTTCAAACTGTTCCACCTTGTGGTATGAAGTGTTTAATATGGAACTTCAACCTATTCTATTCCAGGCTCAACATACTCCAGAATCTGAAGAAAACTAATCTCAGCAAAGTGTTAGAGCAACATTTGCAGCTTAACATTTCTTAAGCTGCAAATTAAGAGCTGCATTTGCAGCTTAACATTTCTTCAGCTGCACAGACCCTTGAAGGTATCTTCAAGCCTGCTCCTTGCCAGAAGAGTTTCAGTAAGGGTTGAGATCAGGTTCCAGCTGATAGATTTCCTGTTGGAATTTAGACACCTAGACATATAGGTGTCTCATTTTATTAATAATAAGTGCTTTGCTTGTGGCACCACAAGATGCTTGTGATCTAACAGGCACTGCTGCAAGCTCCAGCACAGGCTAAGTTGTATTCAGTCTGGCACTGGATGTGCCATAATGAGACAGTAGCAAGTCACCAGAACATTGACTCAACTGACTGAATATGAAAGGAATCAGTGGTCTATCTCCAAAGGCTAAAGGAAGGTGAGAAAATAATAAAGGTCACCAAAACAAACGCCACTAAGTGGCCACTTGGCTTGACCCCTCAGCACAGTGTATCAAGGAGCTGGAGAGAGGTAGGGGCAACTGTGGCTGTGAGAGTGCAAGAGAACAGCTTCAGCCCAAGAAAAAGTAGTGCTGGCACATTCAAAGGTGTCGAAGCAAGAAAGGAGTTCAGTAAGTACTGAGCCTTCAGTGAAGCAAGGAAGAATTAATTATTTAATCCCTGGAAGATGAAAACTTGACCATAGAATAACATTTTTCTGCAGAAGATTGAATATTGAGGTATTAGGTAAACAGGAATGTACAGTTACAGACAGAAAAAAATGTATTGTCTCAAAGAGTTATTTAGAAGAAAGAGTGAAATATTGCCAAAGCTGAATATTACAGAAAATCTGGAACTGACAGTGAAAAATTAGGATAAAGTTTTATTTCTAAAATGGAAGGCACCATCTTCCAAATGGACCTAAACCCTTCCAGTTTCAGTATGCATCACACATTACTCACATTACTGGTCCACAGGTGGAGAGGACATGAGGTGAGCCTGGTAAAGTCTGAAGGAGAGCCATCACAGAACTTGAAGCATTGAAAAAAACCTGAAAAAAAACATTAAAAAGCCCCCAAAGATAAAATATATCCTCAATTGAATTATAACTCAGCTAGTATGCACAAAGTCAAATGACTTCTGGCTCAGTTTCTCAGAGAAAATTAGATAGTTCTGCTCCAAGTGGAAGAAAAATGTATCCTTTGCAAATGCATTTCTCTGTGTTATGCTTTTAAGTACCAGCTTTTAAATCATGTCTGAAGAGGCCTGGGAAAGCACATTAGCACCTCTCCACAAGCACTGTTTGAACATGGTTGGCTCAGGGAGAGGGGAATGAAAGATTTCCAGACTCAGAGCAGACAAAGCCCAAAGGCTGTTGGCATAAGTACAAAGCTAGAATAGTGATTCAAGAAAATGGAAAGAAAATGCCTTTAAAGAAGAATTCACCAAAATGACATGAAACAGCAAACAGGAAACAGGGCTTTTGAAAGCAGTTTTTCACAATTAGGTCACTGCTCTTTTGTGAATGTTGAAGGTGTTCCACAACAGGAGTCAGAAACCCGCTGAAAGCCTGTTCCAAAAACCCTTCTGGATTCCCTGGCTCACTTTTCACCATTGCAATTATCACACTGCCAGGGCAACTGATACAGCAAATTGACTGTTCACTTCCAAAGCTGCTTGCTGCTGTTCTTACAGAGTTAACTCAGGAGCTCTGGGAAGCAGCAGCGTGCCTGGAGCAGCTCACAACATCCCTTGGGGGAATGAAAGACTTACCAGCCATTTCTGTGTGTGGAGGGACACAGTGCAATGCAAAGTTATCAACTGCATTTAAAATGTCCCTCTTTTTGTGACCATCACTCTCCTTTCCCTGTCTCCAGGTGAGCAGAGTGCTTTCCTGTGCCCTGTGTTTTAAAGAACAAGCCGAGGTCCTGCATGTGTTTCTGGCTTGGTGTTTGCAGCCCCTGACAGCCAGCTCTGTCTGACAGAGCTGTTCAAGTGAGCACTAGCCAGTGCTTGCACCCTGCTCCCAGAAAGAGATTTCACATTTGAAAGGAGCGCACCACAGAGGAGGTAAGAAAAGAAATGTCTGCCAATGGGCAGGCCAGCTCCTGGAATGCATTTTAGGGAATGCGTTTCTATTTATTTTCTTTCTTCTAGCTTAAATATTTTACTATTTTCAAAAAGGAGAGCATATGAGCATTAAAAAAAATGTGTGCCAAGGAGTGCACTTGCTTTTATAAGACAGCCTGCAGACAGGTGAAGTGGCACCTCAGAGGAAGAGTGATACAGGTTTCCAATCAAATCAGTCACTGAGGCTGTTTGGAGCTGGAACTGAAGCTCATCATAGGTTTAGGCAGGTCTGTGTGCAATATGGAAGATTTTCCATCTACTTCTTGAACTTACAGTGCAGTTCTGTTTCCTGAGCCATGTTTCAGCAGTCTAGGGGTTTGGTGTGGAGCTTACTGAACATGAAAATTCAGTAAACTGTCATTGTTCTCTGTGTGATTAGTAGAGATTAATGTTGATGTATGTACCAGCATGTGACACCACTGTTTCTACAAGGAACCATTACTCATCAGCTCAACCTGTGGGATTAATTTGCTTTGCTTATTACCAGGGAGAAACAAGCAAAAAGGTCAAGTTGCCCTAGCAAACTTATGCACTGTCACTTAGTAATATCACTTCAGTGGGGAATACTCACTGAACTGAGTGAGAATAGTTGTTTTTTATCTTTTGTCAGACTGATCCACTTGGTCTGTGTAATTAAAGTCTAGAACAAATGTATGTACCCTGACAGCCTCTCGCTACCTATGGACCACTTCAGTTGTGTACAGACAGTCAGGTGCCACAGTAACATTTTTTTCCATCTTATTGTTTATTTTACATTAATTCAAGGCATTTCTGACACTGTGTTTTGTTTTTGTTTTTTTTTTTCCTGTGAGTTTGATTTTGCAGAAACAAACATTTGGAAATATTTCATGCTCTTTTAGGCCCTACCAAACTACCCTCAGCACAACTATCTGTACAGACAGGGAATACTCAGCTGAGACCTTGATGCACTTTGAATCATCTTTTTTACAGTATTTTTGCAAGCAATTCTGCAATTCAATTTACAAGTTACAAGGGATGTGAAATTAATAATGAATGGAGAATGGCTGTGATGCTGAATAGCTGTGTAGAAAAATCTTCCATAATAAAGAAGAAGGGTCAAAGGAAAGGTGTGCGCTGCTTCCACAAAATGCAGGTGTGATCTCTTAAAAAAGCCAATAATAGTAATGTGAGATGTGTGGGCTGTTTTAGTCTGTTTCTAATTGAACAGGAACACCCCTGCCCCACCTCACCCCCCATTATGAGAAGAAATATTGATAAGGAATTGTTTTGCAAGCCCTTAGAGATTTTGCAGAAATTCTTTGGTATCAGGATGGGCAGTGTGTCCTAGGGATCTGAAAGTATCCTTCTTCTCCCACTAGCCGGTGAGAATCAATGAAACCCAACTGGTCTCTGGTAGTATGGGCTAAGAAACCATGTCACAGATGTAAACTTCAGAAATTTGGCAAGGCCAAAGGCTTTCTAGAAGGTTAAAGATCAGTAAAAATTGTCCAGGGTTTTCAGATTTCCTGCTCTAGCCAGGAACACCAAGAGAGGAACAGGTGCCCTCTGTACAAGTGTGCAGGTCTTTGAAAGCCTTGGGACCATTTCTGATAAAGACTGGAATATTGCAAGCAGGGAGTGCCAGAGGAGGAGATAAACTAAAGCAATATGAGTAACTGCTTGTCCACCAGTTTGTTGCTTATACAAAGATCAATGGAGAAACAAGGATAATTTCTTCCTCTTGAAACAGAAGAATTACCCTTTTTTGCAATTCTGGGACAGTATGCTTACAGGGCATCTAATTTTTTTTTTAATTCTTGTGCATAAGATTTATAAAAAAGAAAACTATAGAGGAATTCAATAATTTTTCAATAAGTTATTGGAAGAACTGAACTGCATTTCAAAAAACAAGACTGATTTATGCTGTAAACCCCAGTACTTTATCTTTCACGGAGGTGACTTCCATAGCAGATGGAACAGAACTTTGATGAATTTCCCTGCTGTCCTGGTTCTGGCGAGAACAGGTTTGATTTCTGCAGTAGCCAGGAGAGGGCTTGGCTAGGACCTGGAGATTATTCTGTACCACTTCACTGAATTTTCTGTGTGGGGGAAGTATGGAGCGGTTGGGTCGGATTTGTGGTGACCATTTTGCATTTGAATCACTCTGTGTCTCACTTGTAAACTTTTGTTGTTAATATTATTAACAATATTAACTGTTAATAACAGTTAACTGTTCATTTGCTTATCTCATTGATCTTTCCAGTAAATTGTTCTCATCTCAAGCCAAGATCTTTGCCTTTTGTGTCTTCAGTTCTCCACTCCAGTCAACACAGGGCAGAGTTGGAGGGGGAATGGGAAGTGAGCGATGGGCACAAGTAGAGCATGGTTTCACTGGGAGCAGTAAATTCCTAAACCATGACAACTGTAAACCCAAATAGTCATGGAGGGGCTTTGTGGAACTTCTGAAGCTAGAAAAAAGTAATTTTTATTTCCAGTATTTTGGTGTAATTTTGTTACAGAAGGAAGACCATCTATTTTTCCATTGAAAGGAAGGCTCCTTTCAGAGCCACATAATTTAACTTAAAAATGAAACAGTCAATAATGCAAAGCACAGAAATGCCATGCCTTTCTGAGTACCCCTTTTTGTCAAGGTTAATAGGTAGAAGAAACATTACAAAACAAACTGCTCTGGGAAAACAACACATGTAATACAGATTATTCAGACAAAAGAGACTGCAATGGCCATCTCATATGACCTCCTCCTGTTATATTTGGAGTTATTTGTAGAATATTTTTATGAGAATGCCCACCAAATCTTCATCTTAACATGATTTACTAGGGTTAAGAAATGATCACACATCTTTTGTAAGTAAATTTAGATATTTGTAACAAATGGTGGAAGTAATGACTTATAGGTTGGCAGGGACAGTAGCAGAGACATTTGTTAAGTAACATGCATCTGTTCTTTTATGTGTTTACTAATTATCTAGAGTGGAGAATAAAGAATATATTAATTGAAGTCACTTATATATTAAATTGAGGGAAATTAATAATACCAAGAAGACATGAAAAAAATAGGATAGATCTCACCCAGACAAAAAGTACAGGGATAAAGTGAGAAAATGAGATACTATTTGTGGATTAAAACAGAATCAAAATGAAAAGTTATTCTAAATCACAAGGGGATAGAAAAATCTAAGACATGCTATCAAATAATCCTGCAAAGAAACAACATGGAAAGAATCTTAGGGGGCTGTACTTTCAATGCAGGATAATAAGGTAAAATAGCCTGAGAAATATATAATGAGACTGGAATACATAGATGAAATGTTTTCACAGGCACTCCTGGAATAGCCTGTTCACTTTTTTTATGAGATGAAGAAGATCTGATGAAAGAGAGAGAATTCTGATCAGCACAGCAAATGGATTCATCAAGGTCCAAAATTTGATTTATGAGAAAGAATGAAAAGACTTCAAAACATCTTAGATGATTAGTTAGATTAAGAGACAAGTACAGCCTAGGAACAAAGCAGCAGTCTTGAAATGCATAAAACCTATAAATAATGTTGATAAAGAGACTTCACCAGCTAATCCAAAGCAAACATAAATGAATAGGTGAAACTAGGTAAATAGGAGGTCAACAGCCCCTTTCCTAACAGCACACCATTAACTTCCACAGTGATCTTGCAGGACCCATAATGAAAGAAACTCTGCTTGAAAACCTGAGAAAAAATGTGCAAAAGGACAGCTAGGAGTGGGCAGCTTCAGCTGCACAGCTGGAAGTGGCTGGTGTCCCCCTGCCCTTCCTCTGCCCTTCACTTCTCACCAGAGGGATGTCACAAGGCAGCAGGGAGCCAGTTGTATGTGTAGACCCTGGTTGGTGGCATCCCTGTGCCCCTGCCCTGTCCATGGCTGGATGATTTTTTCTCACTCCCTGTGAGGCTCTTTTGGGCATGAATTAGTTTCCATATACCATTAGAAGTCAGTCTTCCTTGGTTCAAGTCTTTCCTAGACATGCAATGAATCTGTGCCAGAAGAATGGTGCTGCTCATTTCACAACTCCAGCTCTTCCAATTCCAGGTTGTCCAGAAGATGCCCATGGGTGTTCTCTTGCATGGCAAGTACAAGAGCATCCGTGGGAAAGGGTGTCAGCTGGGAGTGAGAAGCCCTAATGAGGCAGCTGCAGAGATGAAACCTCTCCTTGGGAAGAAGTACAGTTTTGTGTCATGTTTCACAAAGCAGAAGAGAGCAGCAGGTAAGATTTGAATGGGAGAGTTGGGGAAAAAAGAGTAACACTTGGCAACCTGGCAGTCCAGAAAATGTCTTGTTAAATTCCTTGGCATTAATGTCGTCCTGAGATGTTAAGCCATACAACATCAAAAAGCAAGTTGTTGGGAGGTAATGCCTGCTCTGTCTACCTCTTTAATCCGTGAGATATTTCCCTCAAACTGAGTTTTCTCTCCAGGTCGATGTTTCCACACCAGCCCTGATTAGCATGGATGTCCCTATTTCATGTACAACACTTCCCAGCACACAGTCTCTGTTTCCCCAGACCAACTCTTCTGTAGCTGCTGGTAAGGATATAATGTTATTCATTAAACCTTTTAATAGCATGCTGCTGTCTAACATTTCATTGTCTAACAGCACCCACTGCATTAATGGTCACAGAGTGTAATGTTGAATGTGCACGGTGGGAAATAACACACATAACACAGGCAGGAGGGCAATTGATTGGACAGTTTAATCCCCTGGTTTATTCCCCTGCTGCCACTGGGAAGTCAATATCATTGAGTGAACATGCCAAAGCACTATCTTGTGAGAAAACCTGTCTTTGGCGGAATATAAAGAAGTGATGAGAAGTAAAGAGAACATTAAAAGTAAAACAATACTTATATAAGACTCTGTCAGACCTGAATTAGTCCCACCAGACTTGCAAGTAGATCTTAGTTTCAGGCAGCACATTCCTACAGTAGCACCAAGCGCCTTCAAGGTTCATTTGCTGGATGAATTAAAACTCAGTGATCTTTCAATATTTTCTCTAGATAAGCCTGAATCAGAATCCCAAACCCAAACACCCCCAAATGCTGGGGATATTTGGATCTTACAGACAGATTATCAAGGTAGTTTGGGATAAGATTAGATGTTTATGGAGGAGGAAAATCTTCCAGTGCATGCACAATTTTAACATCTGCATGGAATAAGTGCGCATGTAAGGAGGGGAGCGTGACTAACTGAGACAGAAGAGGAGGAATAGGTGAATATGAGCAAGACATAAAGTTTTCCAGGCACTGGGCAGAGGAGTTTTTGTGGGGCACTGCGTGTGCCCAACAGCATCACTTCTGCAGTCCTGCTTTCTCTTCTTGTCTTTGTCTCTCCTCTAGAACATGGAAAGCTGGAAGCAAAACCCAAAAGGCTCACAATTAAAGCTGCATCTCTTACAAAAGGCTGAGAGATAAGAGCACAAAAGATTGAAGTGTTTGTGACAGTCTTGGCATCTGAGGAGTACAAGCAGCAAGGTTAGTGAAAGTTGACAAAGCTGAACCCTAAGGACTGTTGCTCAGATATTGGAAAGAAAAGCTTCCTGGGCATCAGTTTGCTGGATGCTACTCCAGCAAAACATTACTTTAAGGAAAAGGCTAATGTTGCTAGTGTGGATATAACTAAATATCAAGAACTTTATTACAAGACAATACCAAGGAGGAGAAGTGGGAAAATCTATTGTGTGCCTTACAGCAACTATGCCTGTATGAACATTCCTACAATGACCATGGCCTTTATGTGCTAAAGGACATGAATTCCACCTGCAAGTGCACATATACAGTTTTGTATGGAAAAGCAGGAGAGTGGGTGTTTTTTTGCCTTGTGGCACTTGCAGACAGCAGAGCAGGCAGGGGGTGTGCATCCCAAGGCTGATGCCTGTCACAGATGCTGACAGCTGAGGAGCAGCTGATTTTCCAAGGGAGTGTCCTGCATAACTGGGCAATGGGATTTGACTTGTCTCTTCCTTCTACCTCTGACTTGTTTGGAAATGGGATACCAGGTTGCTGCAGGCACAAAATCTGGTGGCTTTCAGAGGACTGAATTGTATGTTGGGCAGCACCACTCCCTTTCACCAAAACAATAGGAAGGACAAGGACCAACACTCCTTTTAATTCTGTTGTTTCTTGGCACTGAAGTGGGAAGAAGTAACACAGTTTTATCCCTTTTCCTTTTCTACTCTGAGAGGACATGATGGCATGTGCTGCACACATCAATATGAGATCCAGGTGCTCTCCAAAAGTGTGGCAACGACATCCCAGGTCTGCTGAAATTAGTGGGATGGCAACCTTGGGCTTGTTGGGAATGCAAATCTTCCATGAGCTGTGTGTAAATGGTGACATGTGTCACAACACAAACCTGAGTGACTCATGCTAGGATCCTATCCAGTGCTGGGCAGTTCCATCTTTGAGATAACCACTGCCCAAATATCCCAGAGAAAACCCTTCCCACTGCAGGAAGGGCACACACTGAGCACCTCTGCCAACCCCTGCAGTCAGCTGGGAGGAGCTGGAATGGCACAGGGAGCCCAGAGCTGCTCAGGAGGATGGTCTGCAGCCATGGCTACTATTCTAATTTATAATTAAAAACATTTTCATTCTCTAACAACACTGAAGATGTGTGGTGAAAACCAAGAGAAGATGTTTTGCAATGAAAAAGAAAGCTTTGCAGTGAACTGTGAAGTAGGTTTTGGGGATCCCTGGTGAGTGCAGGCTGCTTCAGAGACCTGACCAGGCACACACTGGCTCTGCTGCAGCATCCACAGGGCACTCCACACCCACATCTGTGAGCCAGTCAGAAACCATGGCAGGACACAAGGTTTGCTGTGCTGGGTACAGCAGCAGCATTGCTAAATGCCTGGAAACATTCTAACATCCCCTGTGATGTTAGAATCAAGTGTGCCACAGAGCATCTCTGAAGCAGGGTCCATGTGGGGACAGCTGGGCAGGCCAGTCCCCACGTGTCACAGCAGTGACAGACCCTGTGCCAGGGAACAAACCCCTCCTGCAGCACGAAGCGACCCCTGCAGTGATGGTGGAGAAGTGAGTCGGTTCATGACTCCTACGGCACCTAAAACCCTTGCAAAGAGGGCAAAAGGAAGGGGCATGAAGCCCAGCAGGAACCCTTCCCCAGTGGAGGGATGCATGGAGCACGGGTGAAGGTACCCACCTAGCAAGGAGAGGCTCCCACGCATGAAGGCTTTTCCTGTAGGAGACTCAAGCCCATGCCTGGGCTCACAGGCATTGTGATTCTTAGCGAAAAAAGTGGCTAGAGAAAACAGAATAAAATTCAAATCAATTATGCTGTTCAAAGTCAGTCTCTAAATTAATCCAATTATGCAGCAGCAATCTTTGCTTAATGCCCAGAAGCTAGAAATGATGGTTAGAGCAGTCATTGGGGAAATCAGTTGATAATGACAATAACCAACAATGGAAAATGCTATTCTGAAAGTAAAGTGGTGGGTGGGGGTGGGGAAGAGGACAGAGAAAACACTCTATTATTCAACCTTCACTCAAAGTATATTGCTTAGCTATTACAGGATAATGCACCCGAGCTAACCAAGCACAGTGCTGCCTCCAGGTCTCAGCAAGGAAGAAGCTGAAACTTGCTTATCGTTCTTTACTAAGGAAAGCTCCCAGCACCGTTATTATGGAAGTACAGCTCTTAATAACCATTGCACAGCTGTGTTCTGGAACAGTTTGCCCACACAATGTCTCTGCCTCTGTCAGGCAGGCTGCTAAAAGCCTATTTTTATATTTTCAAAATTTATTCTTCAAATCAACTTGGTGCAGAAGCTCAGCTTCAGGGCCTTGATGTTTTTCATAGAATGATAGAATAGTCTGAGTTGGAAGGGACCTTGAAAGCCCATCTAGTCTAATACCCTCCCTGCATTAAGCAGGGACATCTTCAACTCGATCAGGCTGCTCAGAGCCCTGCTCAATCTGGCTTTGAATGTCCCCCAGGATGCAACATTCACAGCTTCTCTGGGCAACCTCTTCCAGTGTTCCACCTCCCTCTCCATAAGAAATTTTTTCCTTATATCTAGTCTGAATTTATCCCCTTCTAGTTTACAACCACTACCCTTTGTTCTATCCCAGCAGGCCCTGCTAAAAAGTCTGTTCTGACCTTTTATATAAGCCCCCTTTAAGTACTGAAAGGCTGCAATGAGGTCTCCCCGAAACCTTCCCTTCTCCTGGCTGAACAATCCCAGCTCTCTGAGTCTGTCTTCATAGGAGAGATGCTCCATATTTGTGGCCCTCCTCTGGACCTGCTCTAACAGGTGCTGAGGACCCCAGAGCTGGATGCATCACTCCAGGAGGGCTCTCACCAGAGCAGAGCAGAAGGGCAGAATCCCCTTCCTTGCCCTGCTTCCCACGCTGCTTTTGATGCAGCCCAGGACAAGATTTGTTTCCTAGATGGCAAGTGCACATTGCTGCACTCCATCTCTTCACCCCCAGCCTGCGGTGGTCCTGGGGTTTGCCCTCACACATGTGCAGCACCTCACACAGTTTTTAGCATGGGTGGCCAACTGGCTTAAAGCATGAGAAGACAGAGGAGAGGCAGATGCAAACAAGAATATAGTCTTGCTCTATTCAGTCTGTGTGCACACAGGCAGCCAGCTGAACCTGGGCCTCTTGAAAGCACAGATGAACTGCATGTGGATAGTTTCAAGAAATATTTTAAAACATTTGGCCCAAAATGACAGGATAATGGAAAGGGAATAAGTGGAAATTCTATTGATTGCCCTAGATGATTTTTCATCTCAGGTAGTCTTTATGGGGGCAAGAATTGTCTGAACCAAAGGATACTCATCTCATGAGTTTTGTGAGGGACTTTTATTTACGCCATTGCATTTAAGTCACTGGAGTGTGGCATGATTTGCGTCCCTCTCACCCCAAATATTCTGAATCTTGATCTAGCTTTCTTGTTTTGTAAGATACTTCATAACACAATTTCATCTTTGAGCTGTAACTCCTCTCTTCAAACTGCATCATTCAGATCCTCTCTGCTGGAAAACATATGCACCCTCCCGTGCCCAATCTCACACATCAGAATATAAAGAATATATTTATAAGATATTCAGCTCTGAAAATGATTGCATGTAATTTCTGAGGCAGTATCCTTGTTAACATTGGAAGAATCTGTTCCCAATATTGCAGCCCACGTGCTCCTCAGAAAACGTTTCTTTGAGCTGTGTCAAAATTTCACAAAAGATTTGAAGGAGTCTCATTTCAGCTCAGTGGAAAAATCTCATATTGTTTACCTCATTACACCTCGTTGCCTCAGGACTACTATTATTATTCATAGCCCCTCACATTCAAAATTGCATGTAAACCCCCATGAAGCTGTGAGCTTGGCTTAAAAATCACAAGGTATTCTCATGAGCTGAGCTGCTAAGCTTTTTCACAGTACTGCCAGGACAGAATTTCAAAGTTTGCTTCACAACCTGAAGGAGTAGAGAAGAATATTCATCTTTTTCTAAAGTGCAAATTGAAATTCCTGTAGTTCACAGACTCCACTGTTTAAGTGGAAAGAGAGTTGGTAGCAGCCAGTAACAGAAGTGTGTCACAAGAGTGCTGCAGCAATATCTACAGATACAAAGGAATTAAATGATAATGATGAGCTAAATATCTCCCAAGAAAGCCAAGTGAACATCATAGCATGAGAGCTACAAGCAGTGAGCCTTCAGTGTTGTGTTACGAAAGCCTGCATGATGAAGGCAGTTTTTCCTTTGTGCTCTCTAGGTTTCCAAATACTTCTACAATGACCCAGAAAAGGATCCTGAATTAGTGTTAAATTCTTACTTCTGACCTGAAAAGTGGTCCATAATAGCTTCCAGAGATGCCAGAGAGCACCTCCTCGACCCTCGTGAGCTTCTTGGAGGGCTCCAGGGTTTTCATCAAGGGAGACAAAGCAGTTTCCACTCAGTAGGAACTGCCTGTCTGGGAGCTCCATGGTGTCCCACAGCCCTTTGCAGCACAAAGACACCAAGGAATGGGGAGATCTAAGAAAAGCAACACCTTTTGTGCCCCTAATGTCATGAGCTGGATTCCAGATGAGGCTGCTGGGGGATGGAGCTCATGCTGACTGTGAGGACCTGCTCCACCCAAACCCAGGCAGAGACCTGCAGGGGCTGTCTCATGGAATTACAGAATGGTTTAGGTTGGAAAAGGCTTGTTAGCTCATTGAACCTGCTAACCCAGCACTGCCAAGTCCACCACTGAACAGTTTCCTGGTGCCCAGACAACCTGTTCCAATGTCTGACCATCTTTTTTGTAAAGAATTTTTTCCTAAGATCCAAGTAAAGCTCCTCCAGCACAACAAAGTGCATTCGTCTTGTCATATCCCTTGCTGCTTGGGAAAAGAAACCATCCTCCACCTGGCTACACCCTCCTTTCAGGCAGTTGTAGAGTGATAAAGTCTCTCCTGAGCCTCCTTTTCTCCAGACTAAATAATCCCAGCTCCCTCAGCCACTCCTCATTGGACTTGTCCCCTGGACCCTTCACCAGATGGACTGCCCTTCTCTGGACACGCTGCAGCACCTCAGTGGGTGTTGTAGCGAGGGGCCCGAAATGTCCCGCTCCGGGCTGCTCCGGGCTGGCTGCTCTCCGAGGGGCCGAGCGGCAGGCTGTCCCTCTCCAGCACGGGCAGCGTTTCTGTGATTTGCTCTCTGAAAGCAGCAGCTGTTCCTGCGCTGCCACTCGTGTCTCAGCCTGTGCTGCACCGCAGCAAAGCACCGCGGCCAGGGCTCTTTTGAGCACCGCACCTTTTCGGGCAGCAGCCGCTGCGGCCCGGCCGCAGGGCGCTGGGCTCGCCTCACACCGAGCCGGCGGGCGTGGGGGAGGCCGCGCTGTGTCTGCGAGGAGAGAGCTCGGCTGGGGCAGGGACGTGGCACCGGGGCAAGAGGAATCTATTAACCCTGGGGAAGCAGAGAGCAGCTGGAGGCTGCAGGCGGTCCCGTAACGAGGTAAACGATATAAGCTGGGGATCAAACAGGAATTACTCACGGACTTGTTCCTCAGCGCTTCCACTTCGGCTGTTAGAGCCTCTGCCTCACAGATGTCAAATGCAGGCAATTTAAAGCTACCTAAAGCCATAGCTGAAATTAACCCCTGCTGTGTCCCAGTCTGCATCTGCAGGCACCCTCCTGTAAGGAAGCGAGCCAGGGGCTCTGCTCGGTGCCCTGTGCGTGGGCTGCGGTTCAAGGAGAGCAGTAGGTGTTGGGCTGATACAGGCCTGCGCACACTCTGTAGAGGAGAATTTCTGATCTAATGAACCTCTGTTTTGCCCATTTCTTTCCCCTTATAGACTGAGGACCCTCTCATGTAAGGAAACAGTGTCCAGCCTTTGTTCCCCTTTCCTTGCCTGATGGGTGTGTTCAGATGGATGTGCACCAAGCATGGCCTCAGTAGCGAGAGATTAGCTCTTCTGGTAATGCAGAATTTTCAGATTCTTGTGTTTCTTTCTTTCCCATCCCACAGCCCACCAGGGGTCTGCTTTCACCTCCTTAGCTGTCTTGGGAATGTTAAAAAGGAAGAGAGATCTGAAGTGCCAAAATCCAAATCACTGAAAAGTGTCTTGGCTTGCTGACAGGAGGAGCCAGCTGCAGGGGAAGATGTGCTTTGTGCCAGCAAGCTGAAAGCCTCTTCCACCAGCAAGGGAAAAGTGATGGTCAGTGAAGTAGATGGGTGCTGGAAGATGCACAGCTGCTGTTCTGAGGCAGGCTCAGAGGTGACATAGCTTCCAGAGGCAGCCCCTGGAGGGAGGAGACTCAAGGAGGATGCAGCTGATGTGGCCCGTGGGCTTGGCACATGGCTGCTGTGCATATGGGTCCTATGGTGGGGCTTCCCCTTGGTCTTACAGGATGGCTGAGAGCTTGGATCCAAGGACAGAAAGCAAAAAGCAAAGGAATCAGGTGGATTGTTCTTTATTTGGTATTCAGTATCAAGGAAAATAAGCTTTTCTGTGGGTTGCAGCTATAGGATTATGAGAGACAAAGCTGAATCACTAATACATTTATTCACCCAAGGACATGTTGAGCTCTCTGAGGACCAAGCTCATCCACTTAATTAAAACAGAGAATCTCCCAAGCACCATTTGTGTTTGAACTAAGTGACATATTTATTACTCATGTCCTGAAAGGGTCATGCATATCCATAGTGGTAGATCTGAAAAGATAAGAAGCTTTTCTGACTTCTTGCTCTGCTTCCTGCCAGAAAAGTTCCAGCACCTGGTCTGAAGGCAGCATGAGGAGGAGGAGGAGGAAGAGGCTGTTGCCTGTGGGCTTTGACCCTTACAATTGATCAATAGCAATGGTAGTTTGTGCTTCAGCAAGAACAGCTTGATTGTTGTGAAGGAGCAACAACATCTAAAATCTGACAGACAGTCTTAGAGATGCTGGTCTCCTGCAGAGAAAGAAAAGGAAGGAAGGACTCAGCTCTTCTGACAGTCCTTGGTCAAAGTTTCCCCCTCAGGATTACTGTCAGTAGAGGCCTGTCACTGAGATTCACTTTTTCAAGGCTTCCCCTGGCAGATGTAAAAGGGACAGAGGAGAACAGCACTGCTCTAAGAGCAGACTTGGAGAAGGATGAGTGTTTTGTCATTGCCTATTAAACCCATATGGCTCTGCAATACAGTTACTGTCTGCCAGCTCTGGTGAGAGTTTGGCTCAGGAGGATGGCAGTGGTGCCTCAGGAGGAAGGTCTATTCTGCTTCCCAGTCTTCTGGCACGATATGCTGACTCATGGAGGACTGCTCAGTGGAAGAGGACAGCACATGGAAGGAACCCACGAACACAGCTGTCCGTTCCACAGATAGGGCAACAAAAGGCACTTTTACCTCTGTTGTTTCAGGTTAGCATCTGCTCGACCTGTAAAGTTCCTCTAAGCCCACCTAATGATTAAGTCAGCCCAGGTTCATCTTGGGATGGAGATCTTTAGAAGTGCCATACACACAGCTACCAGACAGGGCTCCTTGTTTTTTCAGGGAGCAGAGTTAGGATGGAGTGTGGAAAGAAAAGAGAATTAATCATCCTCTGCCAAGGCAGCTCTGACTCATGGGGTGGCAGCACAGGCTCTGTGGGCATGAGATCTGCAGGGATGAGAACTCCAGGGGGTTTAAAAAGGCCCTGGGAAGTCAGCAATGTCAAGTACTGCAAACACATCAAACCCACCCTCTGCTCAGTGCACACGACAGAATGTGAGTCAAAATCAGCCCCCATCTCACCAAGTAAATTATCTGAGTGCTCTGGGGTTGGGGTCTGTGCCAACCCCACCCTTCCCTGGGATCAGGTCATGGGGCATTTCTGCTACTCTCCAGCAAAAAGAGAATCATGAAGAATGAGGAGTGAAAGGAATAATTTGCTGTACCAGAAATAGAGTTTGCGCAAGAGAGGGCTTGGTTTATAGTTCATGTCTGTTTCTCCACAGTTTAGCAATCCTGTGTTCCAGGTGCCTGACATTCTCCTCAAATCCTGTTCCCAAATAAACTCTCAAGTGGCTCAAAAACCCATCACATATTTATTAAAATTCACACTCTCATTAACATGTGGTAGGGGATTCTCCAGTACAGCACCTGGTTCTGGACTTGAAAGAACAACAAGCTTCTGGCAATCATGCATCCTGAAGTTTCAGCTCCTTGACAAACTTGGGGGTGAGGGCCGCCCCACCCGCTTTATTCCTTCTCTGTCTGCAATCATGCTCCTTGTGCTCACTTTTTTCCTTTCCACATCCCCTAAAAAAAAGAAAAAAGTTTAAAAAAAAGTATCTTTTTAGTGTGAGGTGACTGAGCAAAGGCTGTGGACTTTCCATCCTTGTAGACATCCAGACACTGACACGGACATGGACAGGTGAGCCTTCCTGCTTGAGCAGGGAAGATTAGACCAGATGACCTCCAGAGGTCCACTCCCACCTCAGCCATTCTGTCATGCATATATTGGTAACAACAGACTTACTTTTTCCTTTAAGGAGAAAGATAACAGGATTCATGTGGGCCCTGAGGAGATCCAGGAAAGCAGCTGGCCTGGTTCCTGGGGACAATGACATAACAGCTGCTGGGAATGGTTGAGTTGATCTTCAGGGGAGGCCAGACCAGAAGCAAAGATTTTTCCATTTATGGTTATTGTAGGAGCTGCAGGGGGTCAGGACAGCCGGGACAAGCGCAGATGAGAGATCTCTGAAGCTGGGTCTTGGGACTTGTGGTTTATTGCTGAGGGCGTGGGTGCAGGGGCCCTGCTTGGAGCTGCCAGCCACAGCTCGGAGCAGGCCCCAAAGAGAGAGGTAGAGAGAGAATGAATGCAAGAGTGTGGTAAAGAAAAGATGAAGAGAGAATGAATTAATGGTTCCCATTACAATACAATAAATCTGTGTTGAATATTCTAATTCTTACTAACCAATCTAATACAAGATACAAATCCTATAGCATTTACATACAGCTTATAAGAATCATAACATTACATACTGTGTTACATTTTAAACCCTATAAACTACTCTTTGGATGCCTTCTGCTAAGCTAGTAGGGTCTGCTGTGACCCTTGGACCTGTCTGCAAGCAGAGGGTATTGTTTCATCAAATGGGGATTACCTTCAACTGGCCATACTATTGTTTTCCAGTTGTTCAGTAACTAAGGTACCTGAAAGCTTGCTTTCATTTCAATCTCACTTATAGTTTCCATATTCTCAAAATCTTTTGCCAGACAATCATATTTATAAGGCTTTCCTGTATCATCTTCCTCAACAGGTTATGAACTGTATGACACTGAAGAATAAATTCCTAGAAGAAAGATACTCCTTTTTCCACACAGAAACACTCACACCCAGCCTACAAAAAGGCAGTATTTTCACTTCTCTGTACTATTTGTTACTGTTGTTACTACAGGTCATCTCTCTGTCTTTCTCTCTTAAAGCCAGGCCAGCAGAAGGAGCACAGGATATTCAGCTGCAGCCCATCAGCACAGGTACGTATGCCTGCTGTAGGTGATGCTGCCTGGGGGATTGGGTACTGCTGCCTCCCGCTCCTGGGAGAGAGAAGGGGGAGGAGGCTGAGCCAGGTGCTGGGCTCCAAACACTTCTGAAATGACAACAGAAGGTGGGATTGGATAGGAAAAACAAATGTATAAAAGCTTGGAAGTGAGAACTGGGAGTCTTCTCATGCTGAATTTTCAGCTACATGATGAGATCCTCTTCCTTAACAAGACCACTATGTATTTATTCTTCGACTTGTCACCTACTGCAATATTCACTGTGGTAAAACTAGGCAGAGCTGAGAAATCTTTAGGTACAGCTCCAGGTTTGTGTATGTGTATTTTCACACTTGTAAGACAGTCACCTATTCTGCAAGCAGTAGTGCCAAGAAAGAAAATTGAGTCTTCCCACCCCCTCACAGAGGATGTTACTATGTAACACTGAGAAAACTTTATGCACAAAACCCAACAGGGAAAGTGTCTGCACGCTTGGAGCTTTCCACATCTCAGTGCTAAGCAATGGCTCCCTTTTCTTCCCGTGTCCCCAGCACAGGCACAAGGAGAAAAGCCTGGCCACTATGCGATGCTTTTTGCCTTTATCACAGGTCCCACTACATCCCCATCCCTGGAAACATTTGAGGCCAGGTTGGACCAAGCTCTGAGCAACCTGGTCTAGTTAAAGAGGTTCCTGCTCATTGTAGGGAGAATAGACTACGTGTCCCTTCCAAACCAAACTATTCTATGATTCTCATCAGAACTGTGATATCTTCTCATTCTCTTAAGAACTGGTGAGGGCGAGTCAAGGAGAAAGTACAACTATTGGTCTTTAAATCAAAATGATGGCTCTTCCCAGTTCTTAAATAACCATGAGCTCTTAGGAGCCATCTTTCCTAGCCAGCAGTGATAGTACACGCTCAGAAAGCGTGACGAAGCCAGGTGTCCTTTCTGTGCTCATTTACACACCTAGCACCCTTTCAGAAACCAGTTCTGCCCAGTGAGTTCAACAGCCTCACTAGGAATCCAGCCTCTTCAGCTGTCACAGTGCCCTTGCTGGCAGCAGGTCCTTGCTAGCAACCGAAGGTACAGAAGTAGGGCAAAAAGGCAGGATAAAACACCCAGTCAAAATATCTAGGTCACTTAATGAAGAGTTAAACTCCTTTCACAAAGCACATTTGTTGCTCTTCCTAGGATGCTCCTGCACCTTCAAAAAAGTGTAAGCTAGTGGGAGTGAGTGACAACTTCATACATCCAGACTTCTCGCTGCCAGGTTAGAATGGGCATTTAACTTACCATCCATTAAATCTTCAGTTTCCACTTCTCTCTCCCACCTGGACAGAGACTGGTGACCAGTGCCCTCAGCACAGCCACCTGAGGCTACTTTTCAGCAGAAAGCAGGCTTGATGCCTCCTGCACTGCTCTGACAGTGAGCAAGGAGTTGCTCAATCCTCCCTGTGCCAGGTCCCTCCTACTACAAGGACTGGAGGGCAGGGATTGTTAAGAGATACTGGAGTGCTGATGACTTTTAGGACTCCTGCCAAGACCACCCCCTCTCACCAGTTAAACCATCATCCATAAAATAACACTGGGAGACAGATACAGCCTTTCCCACTGGACAGCTTGTCTGCAGAGAATCCCCTCAGGAGCAGTGGGAGGCAGCTGTAGTGCCAGGGATGCAGCACCCAGCAGAGCCTGGCTTTGCTCGCTGGCTGTGTTTAAATTCAGAGCTTAAATGCTGCCCCAGAGTTGCGTGACTGGCAAAGACCATCAGCCAGAACAAGTCTCTGCTGAAATTTGCGCTGTCAAGTCCTTTGCAGCATCACAGTGACCCAGAAAGCTGATGTTATTTCACATTATTTCAAGTGGGGTTTTAAGAAAACACAAAACACACCCCAGAACCCCATGCATTTTAGTATTTAATCAAGGAGTCATCCTCTGGTAGCTGGGGATGCTGTATTCAGGTTGCTGAAAGAAAATATTTTGACTTCCCATTTTACAAGCATAGTCTTTTTCTTCTGTTATATGATGAAAAATCACTTGGAGACATCCTGCTTGTTTTCATGGAGAACTACAGCAGGCAGGGCACTGTAGCATTCAGCTGTGCGGTACCTGTGTAAATGTCCAGAAAACTGAGCAGTTTCTCACAAAATCCACTATTTTTGTCTGTGGATGCTGACTTTGCATTTTCAAGTGGAAAAACAGTATTAATCTGAAGATTTCTCAGTCTTCCTTTTATTGTCACTATGAAGCTTTAAAATTAGAGTGCTATTTGTAAAGCAGCTGAAATTCTACTGAAATGTTCTGTTTTGCTGCTAAGTGGAGAAATAAAGTATTTCTGCACCAGTATTCCTTTTAACCATGACATACAAACTAACAAGTCTTCTTTTGCAAACACATTGTTAAAAGGATTCAATCTCCAGTTGCTAACAATTGAGAATAAACCATGGTCCTAGCCACAGAAATTCAATACTGGAGCAACAACTCTTATGGTAACTTCAGAGACCAGTCAAAGACACCTGAGGAAAGTCTGATGTTAAGAGTCCATCAATCTTCTGAGCCAGTGTTTCTCGTCTGTCCTTCAGCCACCTGCCTGAAAGCGGATTTGCATCCGCTTTCAACATTTTTCATTATTTTCATGCAGAATAAAGGAAAAGATAATACAGAAAAGCACCTTATGTTTGATCGAAGGAAATGAACAGGAAAGAGAAACAAAGCATACAAAATGAACCTTTATTAAATGAAAGAAAATCTGTTTTGTGGGTCAAATATGAAATAGAATATACAAAAACTTTACATCAGATCTCTTGTCAAACAAATTAAATTCTATCTAGAATGAAGTAGCACTTGTTCTTTCCAAGACAACACGAATGGGTGAATATGCATCTTATGGCAGTACAGGACCACATAGACTGCTGTGCTAAGTTTCTGGTTACAAAGAAGAAAAGTTAAAAATCTAAACGATGTCTCTAAAGAACTCAACTATTCAACGAAGTAACCTAAACATGTTGAATGCTGACCACTATGTATTCTCTTACAAGCAAATGACAGGTGGGTCAAGTGCAGAGTTCACAAAGCTTGCATATCACTCTCTGTTTCTATACAAATATAAATAGTTCTTTTTTATTTCAAAAATCCTTTTATTTTTGATAGCCTTATTTGTGGAAAAGGATGACCAGTTCGTCAGGTTCCTGCTGTACTACCCAGACAATTCCATCTTCTTTATCTCCTCCTTTTTTTGAAAATTGTAACCCATAAACCACAGCCTGCAATATTTTTAGAAACTTGATATATGTTTAATCACAAGTCTTTGTACCACTGTCCCGTACATGAAGGTTCTGCAGAGCTCCTAACATCTTTGGCATAGCACACCATGTCCCATTTAATACCTTTTTTTTGCTTAAAAAAGTATATTTTGTTTAGTTAAACAACTTAAAAACATCCATTTCTGGTTTTGTAAAATAACGTATCACCTCTTGAGATGCTTTGCAAAATATACACACATATTTTGGAAAAACACTGAGTACTGACATGAACTCATCTGAAGTCCGATCTGTTTATGAGAAGTAAATATAATTAAAAATTTTATATTCGGCATGAATCTCACATGAAGTCATTCAGTTCAGCTTCAAGTGCTGCTGCCATTTCATCCGCTTCAGAACTGCTTCCTTCCTCATCTTCATTGCTGGATTCTTTACTGGATTCACTGGCAGCATCATCTTCATCCAGTTTGCGCTTGTGACCCCTGGAAGGACAGACAGAGACAAGGCCCATGAATGGAGGTGTCTCAGTGCTTACTGAGAGACTCCTATTCAACATCAGAAAACGTGAGGCTAAAGGACTCATCTTTTTTCAGGTCTAGACAAAAAGTACAGCACTTGCTTTTACATGAACTAACAGTAGCCAGTTCACACAATTCAGTTTTTAATTGCTGTTATGTTCTGTCAGCGGTAGGTGCAAAGAACAAAGTAGCGTTAATTTGTTTCTTCCATTCTTCTGAAGAAAGTATGAGACTGTTCGAAAATAATGAGATTTACATTCCTCTTGCATTCCAAAAGAAAGAAGAAAGCCATTGTGTAAAAGAGATAGTACCAAAATACAAATGTTGTATGATTTTGAAATATCAAAGTTTCTGCTTTTTTTATAAAAATAAAACCATTACTGATGAACCAAATCTCACTGCACCAGCATGTACACTTCCATGCTTCCAAACTTTGGGATCCCATCCTTCCCTTTTGTGTCTCTTTGGATTAGTCCTGCCAGGTTGAACAACACATTTCTTTGCATCTCTGGAGAGCGAACCAGTTTAAACAGGAAACTGATGCGCACCATACCCTGCTGAAAGAATCATGTTCTTGGTTCTGAAAGATCTCCGAGGAAAATCTAACGCTTCAACTGGGACATAGCCATAAGCAAAAGAATTTGGATTTGTGGAATCCTAAAATCTCTTTTCCTTGCCAAAGGGAATTATACATCAGACGTGTACTTCTAAGACAAAAATAAAGTTGAGATTTTTGCATTGCACAGAATTCATAATAAGATGTAGAAGCACCTTCAAAATCCTTCTGGATAATTTGTTCAAATTTCAAGCAGAAAAATACATGCAGAGGGGCAGGCATCTCTCAAATAACTTTCCTTGCTGGGTGGGGTTTCATTAAGAGAATGCACCCACTTGCAGTAATGAAAAACTCATAAAATGATCTATTTTAGATAAAAGCAGTAATTTAACAATAATCCTGTTACTTTGAGAGCATGGAGAAACAGAATATAGCAAGAAAGAAAGACATTCGATAAATACTAGCATGAATTATACATATCCAAAAGAAATAAAGGCAGAGATTAAGAGTCAAACCTGTGAGCTTGTAAACAATGCTGAAATACAAAGCAAATTTTATCTACACAGACACTTTGATTGCTGTTTTCCAAGAGGGAAGCTCATTAGCCCAAACTGCTTGGTTTGGTTTGCTGACACCTGACCTGCCCTTTCACTTTTCACGGAGATGGACAAGGTGTGGTGGGAAGTCAGAAGGGAAGTCCAAACCAAAATGGGAAGTGAGCAGTACTGTGTTCTATCTTCCCTTTCTGCTGCAGCTGTGGGCAAAAAGAGACACTGCTGGCTGCTTTACAGAGCACTTCCTCCCACTGATGTCATGTGGGTTTTGCTATTGAGCATAGGGTGGTAGAAGTAATATTCCTGGGAGGCAAGGCTGCAACCCTGCGATACACTCTGGGCTCTAAATCCCTAACAAGGAAAAATGGGATGAAGTAAAAGTGTTACCTGAATACTTTGCTACTGAAAGTCAAATGTGGTGTGCTGAAGCAGTTTCAGGGTACTAAATGTAGCCTAATTCACAATAAAAAGCAGTTTCTCAGGCTAAGAGTGATTATTTCCACACAGCTTCTATTAACATGCAGTTTGGACAAGGAAGCTCCCATGCTTAAAATGCCCAATTGAAAGAAATCTCAGCACATTTTCATTAAAAGCTATACAAATGTATGGGGCCTGAGCAACACCTGCTTAGTGATGACTTCAGCCTTCAGAGCTACAGTGCTATTTCAGGCATTAATGATACTATTAGTGAAGAAAAGCTAATTAGGAATTAAATAAACCTGAGTCTTACATGGCAAAAGAAATGAGTAGTGCATCTTTAACAAGCAGAGGATAAGAAGTACACAAGCAGTGCTAACTGAGAAATAAATATGAAGTCATCAAGGGAATCAATACCACAATGCTCACAGCTGAAAACATTTGTATTCATCTGTTTGTAAGATTGCGCCCATGGAATCTGATGGTATTTCCCACAGAAAAATGACACTGGCAATCTGACAGCTGTCATTTACACATATGAGAGGTACACACTACTGCAGGTAAAAGGTTATGTCAGGACAAGCAGGCTTTTAGAGACCAAATACTGTAATTTACTGGGACATAAATCAATAGCACAGATCTCATAGAAAAGAAAAAAAGAGTCTATGAAGAAATACAAGAAATAACAGCTCACTGAAATAATACCTCACTGCCAGTTCATTATTTCTTGAAAGTGCAGAACAGTTAATTTACTAAATAATTACAGCAAAGACTAGCAAAATTATTAATTTATTCAAGAAAATAACATTTAAAATGTCAATGTACTTCACAGCAACTAGAGTTTGGTGAGGACAACCAACTAAATACAGAGCTCTGAAATACTCAGTGTGACTAATTAATTAAAGAATGGAGCTCCAGCCCACAGAAAGACTTTCCAGAAACCTTAATGGATGCCTTTCCTATATTTCATCCCTCATTCAGTTGTATTAAACAGTATCTTTGGAAATCCAAAAGCCTGACCATTATCTGTTTTGTCAGTTCTTGTTATTTCAGTAAGGCTAGAATGACAACTCTGTTCAATCTCAATATGAAACATTAGTCACTTATGGGGATGAAAAAAACATGAGAAAAACAAAAAAGAAAACACAGCTAAATATCTATAGAAAAAAAAATCACTCCTGAACATTAGCATTTTTTTATTATGATATAAAAATCTTTCAGTATTTGTGTACTGTGTTCTGCAGCTTCACAGTTATTCAAGAAACATTTAAATGAGTATTATGATATCAAATAAAAAGCTAACCCTGAGAGAAGTATAGAGGAAGGACATCAGGAACACAGAGCTGTATTTTTTCTTTGCAAATTCAGAAAAGAGAGATACCACGCTGTTCATAATTTCTATCTTCAGAGAAAAAGCAGTATATCCCCATGGTGGCTTATCTATTAACATAACAAATAATTTAAAATGTATATTTTCCTCACTGTTCTGTGCCCATCCTTTGTCATTTCCAGTTTCAGAGCTGTAGTGCGTAGCACTTTTGAGTGGAAAAGTTAAGCTCATACAGAATTCCTTATTACTATTTAGAGAAAATGATTCAGCAGCGTTGCAGGCTTCCATGCCTGATTTGCATTTTTGTAACGAATTTTGCTTGACTGCTATTAAAAGCCAAACGCGTTGATAATAACTGAGTATCTTTAATCTCACATATGAACAACTGCCAAAACACTGAATGCAGAACTTTAAATATCTGACAACTCTGTGAAAGAACTTCTACAATCCAGATTTCCTTTTCCTTTGCACAAAGTATTTTTCCTTTGTAATACCCAGTTCTAGGAGGCCCACCAGTTCACGTGCTGGAAAAATCCTTTCAAAAGAGAACTACATTTCATAAAATCTCACATATTTAAATGAATCGTCAAGACATTTAAATAAACTACAAGTGTAGTTTATTTAAATAAATAAATAAACTACACAATGACATTAAAAATAAAAAGAAAAAACTATTTGTAATTATATACATATACATAAAGCAGTTTTTAGGAAAATTTCATCCACAGAATGCTAGTAAGAAATAGTGATATTCCAAATGAAGAGACAGGTTTACAGAGTTGCAATAGCACAAGGTGCATACCTATAAAAATAGCACAGAAAAATTTACTGAAAATGAAAATTTATTTAGCTCTTGATCTGTTAAAATGACCACTAAAATCTGATTACAATGTACAGGTCGAATGAAAACTCCATTTTCATGAATTCACTTTAAATGTAGTTCACTATGAG